GGACAGGAAGCAGGGATGATAGAGGACCAAGAGTACCACTGTTAATTATGGTATCTTATACTTTTATTTCCTTATCACTTCGCTCTTTCTTCATTTTCATTATCCTATTTTCCTTTCACTTCCTTCAGCGAAACTTGTGAGTGATACAAGAGTTGTGTACTTATAACATATTTAAGTGGAGAGCTACTGTGAAATGCCGGTATACAGTTCCTCAGTGTGACTTAGGTTAAGTAAGGTTCGTCAAGAAACAGGACAAGTGTTTCTTGACGTTTGTCTTAGATGATGACCCGCCTTTGGAGCCTTTGGTCATTTGACCGAGGCCTTTCAAAGTGTGGCGATCCATAAAGTGAATGCTCGCTGAATCCGTGTGTCTGGTCCAGCCTCTGGGGAGCCTGAAGAGGTCTCCAACTTAAATTTCCATCTAAAAATTTTAATTATATATGTCTCTGAAGTTGCCAATTGGTTGTCGGTAGTCATCAATAGAAATTAGATTAGGTTAGGTATGGTTCGACAGGAAACAGAATAAGTGGGTCCTTACGCGGTACCGGAGCTTTTGGCGATCTGACCGAGGCCTTCCATTGGCTTCCCGGTCTACCCCCGCCCATTAAAAATAACGTTAACAGAAGTGAATACAGACACGCCCTCTTTTGATAAGGATTTCTGCCCAGATTGGCCCAGAAACTGTGAAACCGTTGAAGATCTTCGTAATTTATTATGGTAAAACGGAAGGAGGCAAATATATAGTAAGAGTTGGCTGGAACTGAGGTGGGATACTCTAGGAAAGAGAGAGAAGTAGCGTCTGGAGGAACTGGAATGACCATAAAGAGTACTTACGAGGTCCAGTAAAGTAGCTGATTACTAAAAGAAAACATTCCGTAAAGAAATATATATTATGGTGTTACCCCTCGAGATGGCATCTGTCCTTCTTTCTCTCTTACTTCTTTATTTTTAGTTTTTTTTTTATTTCGCCTTATCTTTTCTTTATTCCGTTTCCTTTTAATCCATAAAAATACTGTTTTTGTTTTCCAGTTTTCTCACTGCCCGGTGGTGCTAGACGACAAATACCCTCCCACCTTAATGAAGGCCACACACTGTTTACCTATCACTGGCTACGGAAGTGTGTGATTGAAGAAATGGGTGATAGAGATTGGTGGGTGATGAAGAGTGATGGTTGATGGAGACGTGTGGATTATGGGGGCTGGTGGGTGAACTATAGGGTGGATAGTTGGGTAGATAGGAGGGCGAATAGCTTTGTAAGTAGCAGAGGGTGAGTGGATGTTTAAGACTTGATGGGTGAAAGAACGGGTGGGTGGGTGGATAAGTGGGCGAGCGGGATGGTGGGTGGGTTGGTGGCTGGGTGGTCTGGAGGGCATGTGGAAAGAACGAGCGTGTCTGCCAACGACTTGTTTACACCTGAGCCAGAAAATACTGCTGGCAGCACCATCACCATGTTTCACTTCATTGTTTACTGTTATATATGCCAAGACTTGCTTTCTTCTGAGTGAAGATAATAGGTATTATGTGTGCTGTCTCTTGTTATACGTTGTTGACAATGTTTTGGTTAAGGTTGCTTGATTAACTGGGCTACAAGATTAGCGTCTATACGAAGGTCGTTAAGGCTCCATGTAACCTGTTTACCACCAGTCAAGAATATTTTATTACTTATAATAGGAATTAATATAAACTCCCAGTGTATATTCATTAAGGAAATACAAGCCTTTCTGTGTATTTAACCATCCAAGATTTTTTCTTGAAGCTATTTAGCTTACTTCTTCGAGTCTATGGGGTCCTATATATTACACCAGAGATGTATGTATGTATGTATATATATATATATATATATATATATATATATATATATATATATATATATATATATATATATATATATATATATATATATATATATATATATATATATATATATATATATGTCGTGCCGAATAGGCAGAACTTGCGATCTTGGCTTAAATAGCAACGCTCATCTTGCCATATAGGACAAGTGAAAATTTGTGTATGCAATAATTTTCGCCAAAATCATTCTGAACCTAACGAAAAAAAAATATATTTCACTGTGTTTGTTTAGTATTAAATTACTGTAAACAAATCTAAAATATATTTAGTTGGGTTAGGCTAAAATAAATTGTTCTTGTTATAATAGGGTTAGGTAAGTTTTCTAAGATTCTTCTGGAGCAAAATTAAAATTTTTTACATTAACATTAATGAAAAAATATATCTTTAAACGCATAAGAGAAAATTTTAGAAAGGATTTAATTTTAAATGAGTTCTTGCTAATTGACCAGTTTTACATATTCGGCACGACATATATATATATATATATATATATATATATATATATATATATATATATATATATATATATATATATATATATATATATATGCAAAACAACCACTCTGAAAGAATAGAGAAATTCCAAGCGCTTTCGTGACTACTCACATTATCAAGGAACTCATAGTTCCTTGATAATGTGAGTAGTCACGAAAGCGCTTGGAATTTCTCTATTCTTTCAGAGTGGTTGTTTTGCATATTTTGAAATCACCTGTTTACTGTGATCTTATTGCATATATATATATATATATATATATATATATATATATATATATATATATATATATATATATATATATATATATATAATATATATATATATATATGCCGTGCTGAATAGGTTAAACTTGCGATTTTGGCTTAAATAGTAACTCATTTTTTGCCGATTAGGGCAAGCAAAAGTTTGTGCATGCAACAATTTCGCAAAAATCAATCTGACCCTAAAGAAATTTTTTTTTTATTTCATTGTGTTCGTTTATTAATAAATTATTGTAAGCTTACTAAAATATTTTTAGTTGGATTAGGATAAATTAAATTGCGCTTGTTATAATAAGGTTAGGTAAGTTTTCTAAGGTTCTTTTAGTACAAAATTATTAATTTTTACATTAGCATAAACGGAAAAATATATATCTTTAAACGTATAAGAGAAAATTTTCGAAAATTTTAAATGAGTTCTTGCTAATTGAACAATTTTACCTATTCGGCACGTCATACATACACAGACACACAGACACACACACACACACACACACACACACACACACACACACACACACACACACACACACACACACACACATATATATATATATATAATATATATATATATATATATATATATATATATATATATATATATATATATATATATATATATATATATATATATATATATATATATATATATATATATATGCACTTACCACCTCCAGGACTCAAGTCCGTCTAACCGGCTTCCCTGAATCCCTTCATAAATATTACTTCGCTCACACTACAACAGCATGTCAAATCATATAAATTACTTGCCTCTGTTCACTTCTATCTAACCGGCAGCCCGTTAACAGAATTTTTGTAGAACTACACGGAATGGAATTTACATTAAACAAGAAGCTAGTTAACTCACTACTGCACCCAGAGTATTGATCAATAAGCTGGTCAGCTCACTACTACACCCAGAGTATTGATCAATAAGCTAGTCAGCTCACTACTACACCCAGAGTATTGATCAATAAGCTGGTCAGCTCACTACTGCACTTAGTGTACTGAGCCACAAACTAATTAACTCGCATAAAAACAAAGAGGCACAATACCGTGACTGGAACAATACACGAATAACCCGCACATAGGAGAGGAGAGCTTACGACGACTTTACGGTCGACTTGTATATAGTTAACTCGCTACAGAATCCAGCGTATACAATTTATCGTCGGCAAAACAGTCCAGCCAAATATAAAAATAATTATTCTCAGTAGAGCGACTAAATTTTTGCTTAAATGTTGAATGAATCATTAGTCTCCCACAATGAAGGGAAATGTAATCTGAACAGGGCTTCTAAGCTCCATTTACACCGGATGTAATTAAATTACCTTTTTTATCTGAATAGGCATTAAAAAATAATATTTAATTGTTAAAACTTTAAACGGTGTTTTTCGTAAACTAATTAACGAAATGATTTTTGTTAATAATAACCCAAAAATAAGGGCAACACACAGTTGGGTTCTGTCTCGCAGAGTAACAACATTCTTTGTACGCTGATCATCAAGGTTATTTTTTTACATAAGGGTTTTACAAGGTTAGGTTAAGGGTTCCTACTTTTTTTTTACAAGCTACGAGCTGTTACGTACATCAGCTCATTTCGAAGTCATTCGGATTTAGCGCTTCATTTAGTTATATTATTTTCATTATTATTATTATTATTATTTTACAATATTGTGACTCTCTCTCATATATATATATATATATATATATATATATATATATATATATTTTATATATTATATATATATATATAATATATTAATATATATATATATATTATAATATATATATATATATATTTTCAACACTAGGATTAGCCGAGGATTCAAACGCATGTTGATTTGGTCCGCCTCATGGTGAGCGAAAACCATATGACGCTCTAACTCACAGGACCAACGCAACCTACAAGAATCAGCACCCAAAGCAGAGCTAGATGTTTTGCCTTGATCCGAGGACATACGGTGGTGTGGGTTTGCCTCTGAGCTAATTTCATTCTACCCCCGTTTGATGCACAACCACGAACAAGTGAATATATATATATATTAATATATATATATATATATAATATATATATATATATATATTTTATAAATATATATATATAAAATATATATATATATAAAATAAAAATATTATATATATATATATATATAATATATATTTTATATATATATATATATATAATATATGTTAATTTATAAACCCTAATTAGTTGTTGTCTTAGATAAGATCAAATAAACAGTGTGCAGTGCTACCCACCCCGTGTAATACTGAGTGTGTCACCCCGTGTAATACTGAGTGTGTCACCCCGTGTAATACTGAGTGTGTCACCCCGTGTAATACTGAGTGTGTCACCCCGTGTAATACTGAGTGTGTCTCCCCGTGACCAGGTCCTCGCTGGAATGATGGCAAGCCTCACCACCCCACCAGACCATGTGTCCTCCCTCACCTTAACACAACGGGAAACACCCACTCCTGCGCCCACATCCACGCCCCCGCCCCCGCCCACCACCACCGACACAACGCTTCAACCCACGCCGCCCACCTTGAAGCCACTAGAGGAAATTTCTGAAATGGAATATTTTCAGGATGATTATATTGAAGGTACGTTTAAGTTACTGCCAAATGCTAATTATTAATATTATTATTATTGTTGTTGTTATTATTATTATTTTTATTTTTATTGTTGTTATTATTATTGTTATTATTATTATTATTCCCATTATTATTATTATTATTTTTATTATTATTATTATTATTTTTATTATTATTATTATTATTATTGCTATTATTATTATTGCTATTATTATTATTATTATTATTTTTAAATTATTATTATTATTATTATTGCTATTATTATTATTATTTTTATTATTATTATTATTATTATTATTATTATTATTATTATTATTAGTTCTGGAACCGGACGCGTATTATTCCTGGTCAGTCAGAGTGGCCAGGAGAGAAGGGTGAAGTGTGTGCGGCAGTACGTTGAGCGCAGCATCTGCAGCAAGATGTACTAAGACAACAGGGTTTGTTTTTTGTAGGATGGTTTTTTTTTGTAAGTTTATACCATAGGTTATTTTATTGTTTTAAGTACTCTTATGTTTACCTGTAAGGCCCTAGTGTGCAGAGGCCTGTTTAAGTTTTAGGAGAGTACTCGTATATTGTTTTAGCCTGATGGTAGACAGACCGGCAGAAGGAGGAGGGAGGGAATCATGGACCCTCCTTGTTAATAAATGTTTATAATTTTATATATTTTGTTTTACTCACTAGTAACAGTATGCTAGTGACTTAAAGCGAGTACTGGGTAAAGGAGTACTGGAGAATGGTGATGTTGGGATGTAGTAGAATAGGTTCTATTAATATATTACATTTTTGTATAAGTAAGTTTTTAACGTCTTGCTGCAGGTGCTGCGCTCAACGTACTGCTGCACACATACCTCACTGCTCTTCTGGCCACGCTGAGTGACCAGGAATAATATACGTCCGGTTCCAACTAATCACGGAAAATGACATTCTATATGGAGCGTTTTTTGCACAATATTCACTAACACACGACGTAATATTATTATTATTATTTTGAGGAGCTAAATCCGTGAGGGATCACACATCTGGAAAATGGGAGGTAATCAGGATTGATTCTAGGGAGAGAGGTACCTCAAGAACCCTTCTACAATAGCAACACGCCCTTCCCTCCTACTGTAAGACCAGGTGCTACTATTTGTACTTAAATCTTGGCATAGTATTTACAATTATTTTAACATAAATTCAAATGAGGTCTTGGTAATAGTAAAGAAAAAACGCAGGTTGCAAGACAAACGTTTGTTGGGGGCAGCATTACACTATGTGTAAAACATTATCAAGCCCCCAAAGCTCTAGCCAGAGCGAAACGTTGCCCTATAAAAGATCGTTCTGCGTCTTATGTCTTTTATTCATTATTTCAATATACTTAAGCGTTACAGTGCGTAATGAAACACAGAATGAGACAGAGAAAGGAAACAGAGTTAAAGAATAAAACAATGTGCAACACCTGGGTGCTGGTTGGCGAGACGTCTTCGAAACATAGATACCCAGATGTCGCATATGTGTATAATCTATCACTTTATCACTACCGCAAACCATCAGTATAAAGAAGCGAGTTAAAGTGAAAATGAAAGAGCGGAAGCCAAAGGTAAACAAAGAGAAGTGGAGGAAGATAAGAGCAGCCATGTTACTTGTCTTGGTAAATCGCAGAAATGAAGAAGGATTGGAGGGACCTGAAGCAGCCCACATGACTCATTTCTTTTTCTCGGTTAATGGGTCTACAGGGTTAGATTAACATTTCCTGAGCGTATTATAGACGCTGGTTTGTTAATGGGGTTTCAAGCCTCTCGACTATAATAGGGTCATTAAGGCTACACGTAACATTTTCACCATCAGAGCAAAAGTACTTTAATCCCTCAGTTAGGTACTAAAATAATCTCGGAGCATATATACGCTATATGCTGAGAGAAATATACCTCTCGGGATATATTTGCAGGCAGCGAGTGGCACAGAAGAAGAATATACAGAGTAAATCTGCAAGTAATTTCATCGTTTTCCACTTGAAGTAGACAGGGCTTTATTATTGGACATTATACAGCACAGCAACACTGTGTCTGCAAAAAAAAAAAAATTACTCTGCTAGTGGTATCGTTAAATCAATGGTATATTGGAGACCACTTAATGAACGTGACACATGTACTGGCGATATGTCTCACTGAAGATACCCAGGTGCTGCATATGTGTCTCATCATCCATGACAAGCAGTGAACTCCCGTTATACATCGGACTAGTTGTATCGTGTTACGTTCTCACAGACTTAGAAACCACTAATATTTCTTTTGTAAATATACTGCAGTAAATAAAACTTGTATCTCATCAGTTCAGAGTTTCCATTATTAACTTACTGTTAATTAAAGTTTTTATGTATTCCTATCTTTCCATAAATATTTTCCCTTCAGTGATGCGTTCTTAGAACATTTCTAATTTATTTAATTTATATTCAAATCGAATTTCTTTATATCTTTGGAAATGATAAAATTCTGTTTTTTAAATGTGATGGAAAACAGAAAAAAAAATCTAAAGTAATATTTAGCTTCAACATGGCGACAGGAAAGCTAGCGAAAAGCCTCAGCCAAATGTTGTAATAAACGTATAGTGACCATCTACTCTAGTCGAGTAAGAGCGAATTTTTATCTGGAAAAGAGAATTCCTGGTAGGAATAGGGCCGCCACATATACGTACAATCGCATGTACTGAATCTGATTGAAATGAGAGATGCTTGTACAATATTCTTTGCTGGTCACTGTGGGACTAAGACCAGCCTCAGGTAAAACGTTTTACCATTTTCTTCCTGACAAAAATACTCCCACAGAGTAACACTGTTTGTGGGGTAAGAACATTAAATAATTGCGGAGATCTTGACTTTGCTACACAAACTGACAGTATTAGTGAGCCAATAATACATTATTTAAATTGTCCATGCGCTGTTTCACATTCTGATCAAAATCCTGCTGATAATATCGAATTTCTTAAAATACTGATTTTTATTACATGTCCTCAGGCGATTTTATAATCCCTTGTTATTTATAGTTTACTCTCATATTTTTATCTTCTTTCTCTTGACTGAGTTCATTCATTAATTTTAAGGTTGGTCAGTTAGTTAAAGCCTAACGTCTGCAGGAGAGTCATTAGGGAAGCACCTAACATGTGCAACACCATACGCCATATTTTCTTCCCTTAAAGATAAAGTAAACTTTTAGTATAAAACTCATATATATATATATATATATATATATATATATATATATAATATATATATATATATATATATAATATATATATATATATATATATAAACACACTGGCCGATTCCCACCAAGGCAGGGTGGCCCGAAAAAGAAAAACTTTCACCATCATTCACTCCATCACTGTCTTGCCAGAAGGGTGCTTTACACTACAGTTTTTTAAACTGCAATATTAAACACCCCTCCTTCAGAGTGCAGGCACTGTACTTCCCATCTCCAGGACTCAAGTCCGGCCTGCCGGTTTCCCTGAATCCCTTCATAAATGTTACTCTGCTCACACTCCAACAGCACGTCAAGTATTAAAAACCATTTGTCTCCATTCACTCCTATCAGACACGCTCACGCATGCCCGCTGGAAGTCCAAGCCCCTCGCACACAAAACCTCCTTTACCCCCTCCCTCCAACTTTTCCTAGGCCGACCCCTACCCCCACCTTCCTTCCACTACAGACTGATACACTCTTGAAGTCATTCTGTTTTGCTCCATTCTCTCTATATGTCCGAACCACCTCAACAACCCTTCCTCAGCTCTCTGGACAACAGTTTTGGCAATCCCGCACCTCCTCCTAACTTCCAGACTACGAATTCTCTGCATTATATTCACACCACACATTGCCCTCAGACATGACATCACTGCCTCCAGCCTTCTCCTCGCTGCAACATTCATCACCCATGCTTCACACCCATATAAGAGCGTTGGTAAAACTATACTCTCATACATTCCCCTCTTTGCCTCCAAGGACAAAGTTCTTTGTCTCCACAGACTCCTAAGTGCACCGCCCTTTTTCCCTCATCAGTTCTATTATTCACCTCATCTTTCATAGACCCATCCGCTGACACGTCCACTCCCAAATATCTGAATACATTCACCTCCTCCATACTCTCTCCCTCCAATCTGATATCCAGTCTTTCATCACCTAATCTTTTTGTTATCCTCGTAACCTTACTCTTTCCTGGATTCACTTTTAATTTTCTTCTTTTACATACCCTACCAAATTCATCCACCAACTTCTGCAACTTCTCTTCAGAATCTCCCAAGAGCACAGTGTCATCAGCAAAGAGCAACTGTGACAACTCCCACTTTATGTGTGATTCTTTATCTTTTAACTCCAAGCCTCTTGCCAAGACCCTCGCACTTACTTCTCTTACAACCCCATCTATAAATATATTAAACAACCACGGTGACATCACACATCCTTGTCTAAGGCCTACTTTTACTGGGAAATATTCTGGGAAACTTGAGCCTCCCTATCCTCGTAAAAACTCTTCACTGCTTTCAGTAACCTACCTCCTATACCATACACCTGCAACATCTGCCACATTGCCTCCCTATCCACCCTGTCATACTACTTTTCCAAATCCATAAATGCCACAAAAACCTCTTTAGCCTTATCTAAATACTGTTCACTTATATGTTTCACTGTAAACACCTGGTCCACACCCCTACCTTTCCTAAAGCCTCCTTGTTCATCTGCTATCCTATTCTCCGTCTTACTCTTAATTCTTTCAATAATAACTCTACCATACACTTTACCAGGTAAGCTCAACAGACTTATCCCCCTATAATTTTTGCACTCTCTTTTATCCCCTTTGCCTTTATACAAAGGAACTATGCATGCTCTCTGCCAATCCCAGTAATAGCACCAACCACTCCAAAACTATATCCCCACCTGCTTTTAACATTTCTATCTTTATCCCATCAATCCCAGCTGCCTTACCCCCTTTCATTTTACCTACTGCCTCACAAACTTCCCCCACACTCACAACTGGCTCTTCCTCACTCCTACAAGATGTTATTCCTCCTTGCCCTATACACGAAATCATAGCTTCCCTATCTTCATCAACATTTAACAATTCCTCAAAATATTCCCTCCATCTTCCCAATACCTCTAACTCTCCATTTAATAACTCTCCTCTCCTATTTTTAACTGACAAATCTATTTGTTCTCTAGGCTCCTTAACTTGTTAATCTCACTCCAAAACTTTTTCTTATTTTCAACAAAATTTGTTGATAACATCTCACCCACTCTCTCATTTGCTCTCTTTTTACATTGCTTCACCACTCTCTTAACCTCTCTCTTTTTCTACATATACGCCATATATACTCCATATATATATATATATATATATATATATATATATATATATATATATATATATATATATATATATATATATATATATAAGGGAGGTACCACCTCTAGAACTGTCCTGGGGACCCTCATCCTCAGAGAAAGAATAAACTTGCTTCAGGGAAATCTCAAGGTTCTCCCTGAAGCTGTTTGAGAATTTTCTCTCTACCACCCCCTTTATTTGATATATATTTTATTTAAAGACAAAATACATTGACAAAACATTCTCAAAAATACAATAGGAAATAAAACAACATAGATAACAACTCAAAGCTACATCTCGAATACTTCGCACAGATATACACCTCGTTGCATAAATGCTGAGATAGTATACACACCTTAATGTATATACAGTGATAAATGCACCACTCGATGTATTTTCACTAAGATATACACCTTATCGGAGTTCGTTGGTTCGAACCTATAGCTTTCCACACTCATTTTACACCGGCACAACGTTTTTAACAGCGCGAAACGTAATCCCAACGTGTGTGTCTTTTCACCAGTAATGTGGGCAGGAAGTTATTTGGATTCTGTATTTTGGTATTGTCTTGCTGTCGTTCATAAGTTAGCATGCAGCTTACTCTATATTGTTGTTCTTTTAAAAAAAACAGTTTCACGATTGAGTATCATGCTGTTGACGGTTTATAATACCGACAAAAATGCATATCAATGGTATTATATACCGAAAAAATATTGCTAATTAAACACGGTCTGGGGTTCAAGGCATTTTTTGAGACTTTCACAAATCGCATGTTGTGTCCTATTAACATACAATACCAACAAATTGATGAATAAATACATGTGCAATACTTGAGTGTCTGTATTACTAAATGAAGGTAAGTGTTGCTCGTGTGTTTTATGGATCGAGTTGACTTGATTTATACAAATTTCTAGCCAAACTAATTTAGACTGATGATCATTTTCTTCAAATTTTCTATCCATATACCTCAATAAAAAAAATTGCCTTCCGTAAGAAATAAATCTCCGAATTAGGTGATTCAGCTAAACACATCAAACACCCGACTTTTATTATATCCGCATTATTGATGTAAATGGCTGCCAATTAAGGATTCAGGGTCCAACTTGACAGTGTCGAGATCTGTGGCTGCTTCTCCTTACACTTGTCTTTCGTGTTCATTTAGCGGTAAATAGAGACTTGGGTGTTAGTCAGCCTGTGGTGGGTGGCATCAGTGGTAGCATTCATTAAATAAGGCTGGGCTTTGCATTGAGGTAGGGCACCAGCTCTTCCCTAAGACACGTTGCAGAGTTGTTGTTTTTAACTGACCATATAAAAGTTTTACAACGGGGCTTTTCTAAGCTATTGTTGACAATACTTCACGTGGATCCAGTGTAAATAGTACCTATTCACTCCCGTCTCTCCACAGAGCGTCCATCCTCGGCTGACTCGTCACATCCGCACCCTCATTTGGGCCATCAGTTCCCGGAGGTGATCGTGTCGGCTGGAGTTCCAGTGTACCAGGAACCGCGGGCGCCCTATGGTCCGCCGCCCCGCGGAGTGGGTGGCAACTTCCACAAAGTGCCCTCCCCACCAACAGTGTCCGTGGGCACGGTGACAGTGAGAGTGGAGGAAATCTGCCTGGTGCTGGTCGTGCTCATGATCTGGGCCGGAGCCATCACGCTCTTCATCAACAGGTGAGGCAAAGTGCTCAGGTGAACTCAAACTTCTCTGTCAACCAGAACATTACGAAGGCTTACGAATTATAGTAACTTTGACTAGTAGTAAGCACAACTTCAAAACTAATAAAAAAACGTTTAAGGATATTTTTTTGTTAGAGGTAAATATACACTGCAGACAGGTTAATTAGATATTAGAACTTCCAGTACAGAGGTCCTCAACCAGGGGAGAATTCTTCCCCTTGGGGAATTTGAGGGGATTTCAGAGGGAACTGGAACCACTGCTCAACAAAGTGTGATGTCCTGTAGATTATGTACAATCTGTAGAATTGTAGTTTGTTTTTAATTTAATTTGTGACATTCAGTTACGTTTATTGAATGTCACAGATTGTTGTAAAAAATAAGAATAAATATTTCACTTTTTATTTGACTGATTCTTGTATTTTATTCACAATATTTGGAGCGCATCATGAGTGTCAAAAAAGTGGGTACAGTGATTCATATATTCAATAAGGTTTCACATCTATCATCACCAACTGAGAAGGAAGGCCTCAATGTGTTATTTGTGGCAAAGCTTTGTCAAATGATTCTATGAAACCAACAAAGTTGAAGCAACATTTGCAAAATGTTCATTTTCAACACATAGACAAATGAGCTCTAAAAGATGAAGCTGGATTTAACGGGAGTATTCCATGAAATGAAGCAAAATGTTATTGAAGTTTCTTATGTCGTAGCACTGGAGATAACACAGCAGAAAAAGAAAATCATACAACTGGGAAAACTTTGATCTAACCTTGCGTTCTCAAAATGGTGGAAATTGTGTTGGGAAACTGACTGGAGAAAAAGCTTGCAGCAGTTTCACTATCAAACAGTACTGTTCAAAGAAGGATCAGCAACTTAGCCATTGACATCAAAGATCAGGTTATATAGGAGATCAAGTCTGCTACATTTGGCATATTTTCAATTGAACTTGATGAATGGACTGATGTAGCATCGTGTTTCCAGTTGGTGGTGTTTGCAACATATGTTTACTCGGCCCATTTATATAAAAGTTTGCTTTTTTGTTCTCCTTTTGAAATAACTACTAAGGCCTCAAATATTTTGAAAAAGGTTTCATTTTTCTTTGAATCAGAAATTCTTTTGTGGGGTAATATAATTTCTGTGGTGCTGTACAGATGGATCACCAGCTATGTTAGGGACAAAATATGGATTTCAAATTTGTATGAAAAAGCGAGAACCAAAAGTGAAAGGCATTCACTGTACAATCCGTCGTCAGTCACTGGCATCAACAACACTTCCAGCTCCACTAAGGAAGGTTTTGGATCAAACAATTCAATTTGTGAATTTTGTCAAAGGAGGAGCTCTCAATTCACGGTTTTCAAGCAGTTTTGTATAGACATGGATGCTGGCCATAATTTGCTGCTTTTCCACACAACTGTTCGATGTTTTTTTCAGGCGGAAATCTAACTGAGCGAGTATTTGAGCTTAGAGATGAGCTCAAATTATTTTTTGCCTGGGTGGTTGATGAGGAGTGAATCATGCGCCTTGCCTATTTGAGCAGCTGAATAAACTGAATCTTAAGATGCAAGGAAGGAATAAAAACATAAAATCAGGGATTCCTTGCAAGGTTTCATGAGCAGGCTGGAAAATTGGAAGAGAAAAGTCATGATCAAAAATGTTGCAATGTTTGAGAAACTGGCATCAGTTCTTGTTGATGGTAATGAAGACTATGTGCTTCCAGAATTTGTAAAAAAAAAAAAAAATTTTGCAGCATTTGACTGCACTGGAAAATGAATTCTGCCGCTATTTTCCTGAACTCAGTTATGAGGAGCTAGATTTAGTGTGGAATCCATTTAAACTGTCAGATGAAAAAGTTTTTGATGATTGTCAAGATGAATTTCTGGCGCAGAATTCTGATTCAGGAGAAAGAGATATGTTCGATGAGAAATCAATCACAAAATTTTGGCCCTTGATGTGCGATTCCTACCCAAAAGTCGCAGAAAGAGCTATTCATTCATTGCATCCATTTTTGTCGACATATCTTTGTGAGTCAGGCTTTTCAACTCTGATGCAAATGAAACCGAAGCAACGAAGTAGATTGGAAGTTAAAAATGCCTGCCCTTTCCAGCACTTCTCTGCGAATCTGAGAACTGGAGAAGAAACAACGGTCATAGGTTTCTCACTGACTGCAATGTTTATCAGAATGTAATGAATTACAATACCCTGGCATTCTATTGAACTTTTTGTTTATTAAAGTATGCTTCAGTAACTCTAGTGTGTTAAGTAATTAGTTATGAATATATAACAAATACTTTTATTCAAGTTCTAAAATCCATCAACATTTTCTATTCCTAATAGAATTGTAAAATTCCACTATAAAAATAGTCCAAGTAAATGTATAATATATATATATATATATATATATATATATATATATATATATATATATATATATATATATATATATATATATATATATATATATATATATATATACGTATATATATATATATATATATATATGTTATATATATATATATGCCTGAGATATATATTAGGCATTGCTTACATATTTGTTTGATAGATGCAAAAGAAACATAGAAATTGAAGCATTCTTCAGTATGCATTCCCTACTTGACTTGCTATCTGGGACGTTTTATCCGCTCTGGTAAATGCAATGGTAAGAATAATGATTTGTCAGGACGAGGCAGTTCATGACAAACGTTGGGTGTTTGATACACACACACACACACACTCGGTGGCGCTCGATGTATGCACAAGGCTTATTCCTCTAAGAAAAAGGAGGAGTAGATGTAAAATAGAAAGTGACAGGCGCTCCCTTTACAGGCGACGGAAAAGAATAACAGAGCGGCTAAAAGAGGTCAATATATCTGAAAGGTGTAAGGAGACACTGTTCAGAGAAATAGCAAACATCGAACTTAAGCTAAAGGAATCTTATAGGAGTCAGGAATCGCGGGAAGAACTAAAAGCCATAAATGAAATCGAAAGAAACCCAAAGTATTTCTTCTTCTATGCCAAATCAAAGTCGAGAACAACGTCCAGTATTGGGCCCCTACTTAAACAAGATGGGTCCTACACAGATGACAGCAAGGAAATGAGTGAGCTACTCAAGGCCTAATATGACTCAGTTTTTAGCAAGCCGCTAACCAGATTGAGAGTCGAAGATCAAAATTATTTTTTTATGAGAGAGCCACAGAATTTGGTTAACACAAGCCTATCTGATGTTATCCTGACGCCAAATGACTTCGAACAGGCGATAAATTACTTGCCTATGCACTCTGCCCCAGGGCCAGACTCATGGAACTCCGTGTTCATCAAGAACTGCAAGAAGCCCCTATCACGAGCTTCTACCATCCTATGGAGAGGGAGTATGGACACGGGGGTCGTCCCACAGTTACTAAAAACAACAGACATAGCCCCACTCCACAAAGGGGGCAGTAAAGCAACAGCAAAGAACTACAGACCGATAGCACTAACATCCCATATCATAAAAATCTTTGAAAGGGTCCTAAGAAGCAAGATCACCACTCATCTAGAAATCCATCAATTACACAACCCAGGGCAACATGGGTTTAGAACAGGTCGCTCCTGTCTGTCTCAACTATTGGATCACTACGACAAGGCCCTAGATGCACTAGAAGACAAAAAGAATGCAGATGTAATATATACAGACTTTGCAAAAGCCTTCGACAAGTGTGACCATGGCGTAATAGCGCACAAAATGCGTGCTAAAGGAATAACGGGAAAAGTCGGTCGATGGATCTATAATTTCCTCACTAACAGAACACAGAGAGTAGTAGTCAACAGAGTAAAGTCCGAGGCAGCTATGGTGAAAAGTTCTGTTCCACAAGGCACAGTACTTGCTCCCATCCTGTTCCTCATCCTCATATCTGACATAGACAAGGATGTCAGCCACAGCACCGTGTCTTCCTTTGCAGATGACACCCGAATCTGCATGACAGTGTCTTCCATTGCAGACACTGCAAGGCTCCAGGCGGACATCAACCAAATCTTTCAGTGGGCTGCAGAAAACAATATGAAGTTTAACGATGAGAAATTTCAATTACTCAGATATGGCAAACACGAGGAAATTAAATCTTCATCAGAGTACAAAACAAATTCTGGCCACAAAATAGAGCGAAACACCAACGTCAAAGACCTGGGAGTGATCATGTCGGAGGATCTCACCTTCAAGGACCATAACATTGTATCAATCGCATCTGCTAGAAAAATGACAGGATGGATAATGAGAACCTTCAAAACTAGGGAGGCCAAGCCCATGATGACACTCTTCAGGCCACTTGTTCTATCTAGGCTGGAATATTGCTGCACACTAACAGCACCTTTCAAGGCAGGTGAAATTGCTGACCTAGAAAATGTACAGAGAACCTTCACGGCGCGCATAACGGAGATAAAAACACCTCAATTACTGGGAGCGCTTGAGGTTCCTGAACCTGTATTCCCTGGAACGCAGGCGGGAGAGATACATGATTATATACACCTGGAAAATCCTAGAGGAACTAGTACCGAACTTGCACACGAAAATCACTCACTACGAAAGCAAAAGACTTGGCAGACGATGCAACATCCCCCCAATGAAAAGCAGGGGTGTCACTAGCACGTTAAGAGACCATACAATAAGTGTCAGGGGCCCGAGACTGTTCAACTGCCTCCCAGCATACATAAGGGGGATTACCAACAGACCCCTGGCAGTCTTCAAGCTGGCACTGGACAAGCACCTAAAGTCGGTTCCTGACCAGCCGTGCTGTGGCTCGTACGTTGGTTTGCGTGCAGCCAACAGTAACAGCCTGGTTGATCAGGCTCTGATCCACCAGGAGGCCTGGTCACAGACCGGGCCGCGGGGGCGTTGACCCCCGGAACTCTCTCTAGGTAAACTCCAGGTATATGTGAATGACATGATGGAAGGGATAGACTCAGAGGTATCCCTGTTCGCAGATGATGTGAAGTTAATGAGGAGAATTAAATCAGATGAGGATCAGGCAGGACTTCAAAGAGACCTGGACAGGCTGGACATCTGGTCCAGCAACTGGCTTCTTGAATTCAATCCTGCCAAATGCAAAGTCATGAAGATCAGAGAAGGGCAAAGAAGACCACAGATAGAGTATAGACTAGGTGGCCAAGGACTGCAAACCTCGCTCAAGGAGAAAGATCTTGGCGTGACTATAACACCGAGCATGTCTCCGGAGGCACACATCAACCAGATAACTGCTGCAGCATACGGGCGCCTGGCAAACCTGAGAATAGTAAGGAATCGTTCAAGATACTGTACACTGTGTACATCAGGCCCATACTGGAGTATGCAGCTCCAGTTTGGAACCCACACCTGGTCAAGCACGTTAAGAAATTAGAGAAAGTGCAAAGGTTTGCAACAAGGCTAGCTCCGGAGCTCAGGGGTATGTCCTACTAAGAAAGATTGAGGGAAATCGGACTGACGACATTGGAGGATAGGGGGGTCAGGGGAGACATGATAACGACATACAAAATACTGCGTGGAATAGATAAGGTAGACAGAGACAGGTTGTTCCAGAGAGGGGATACAGAAACAAGGGGTCACAATTGGAAGCTGAAGACTCAGGCGAGTCAGAGGGATGTTAGGAAATATTTCTTCAGTCATAGAGTCGTCAGGAAGTGGAATAGCCTAGTAGCAAGTGATATAGTGGAGGCAGGAACCATACATAGCTTTAAGACGAGGTATGACAAAGCTCTGGAAGCAGAGAGAGAGAGGACCTAGTAGTGATCAGTGAAGAGGCGGGGCCAGGAGCTGAGTCTCGACCCCTGCAACCACAATTATGTGAGTACAATTAGGTGAGTATATACACACACACTTAATCCTCTTACTTCCTTTGTTCTCTTTTTTTCACATTTTTTTTAATTTAAAGACTATGAGGTGTTATTCTACCTCAGGTCATTTCAAAGTCTCCCTATTTAATTTTAATATACTGGTATCCTGCCCCCTTCCCCGGGATGCAACCAGAAATAATCGGATAAAATCTGGGTCCTATTGACTGCTATTTGAGCAATGGCAACAAGTATAAGGAACATGCCCAAAGTCTCCACCTACCCCAGGATCAAACCCGGGTCCGTGAAGTGTGAGCTGAAGGCGCTGCCTCCGAGCCACCATTTGCATTATGTCTGTTTTGGGTTCTGTTTACCTAGCATCCTTTTCTGATTTTCCCCTTTTTTCCTTGTCTTTTCAAGTTGCTCTCCATTATTTCTATTTGTCACTTTTGATTCCCTTCTTGCTTCCCACCATCCATCTCCATTTCCTGTTACTTTTTCTCATTTCCCTTCTCTTCTAAGTGCTCGTGATCTAACGAATTGAAGGTGTCCTCTTCGTGGGATTAAACTTCAATAACTCCAGTTCCCAGGAGCTGTGCAACTCCTACGGGTTTAGCGTTCCCCCATGAATATAATAGCAATAATAACTCTTCCATTTTCTTACGCTAAACTCACGATGCCATAGACCCTAAAATCTTCCAACATTTTTTTCTTATAGATGTTCGGGAATTTTTTTTATTTATGAAATTATGAACCTTA